GCTTACTCTGGGCCAGCAGTCCGCGCTGATGGAGCCTATGGGCCTATACGCCTTCTACTTAATCTCGTCAACTCCTTCACCACAGTACCTCTGTGCTTGAAAACTCTCGGCAAACATGTTGAGCAAATAAATGACGTGTCAACTTTTTTTTTCATACGTGGCAGTAAGATGACACCTCTTTGATTGAAGCTTGACCTTGCTCAGTATTTAAGAAAAGTAAAGCTTTTTTGTACATAAATCGGCTCGGATATGGAAGAAGTAGCGTTTCCCATGCATCTTTTTTGCTTGATTGCACAATTTCCAATGACAACCCGTAAATACATGCTCACGATAATTTTTTTGCAGATGATACTCGGAATGACACATTTCGGATGCTTACAACACATTCAAGCATTTACACAAAGGGCTTGAAGGAATGAAAATCTACTCTAACTTCATATGCTCATTTGACAAGCCGAAAAACGTGAGCAGATAAAGTTCTACAGTGACTAAGATCTTAGAATTTAAGATCAATATGCTCAAGAACTTTGTGCATGTTTGATTAGCGATTTATGGCTGTGCTTCAATGGTTGATGTTTATTACTCAAAATTCAAGAGAAACATGTTCGAGCTTGTCATACAGCGTTCTCGAGTATTCCTGCCTTATCTCAAAATATTAGAGTGGTCTAAAACTAGTGATACCTAGAGAATAAATGCGCTTTCATCAACCATAAAAATTCAATTTGATGTCCAAGATTTGAGAGACGCTGATATTTATCAAATTTTCAGCGAGGTCGTAGGCGTCGTTTTTATAAGTGCTCATGATTGAAGCTCGTCACTTTAATTCGAACCTGGAGAAGCACAGTAGCAGTAAAACAGGAAGCTGCCAAAAATATTAGGTTGATCTAAGGTCGCTTTGATTTTGAAAAATTCGTAACTGCTCCCTAGGTGGACGCATTTACTTATGAAAGATATTCCCAGGTAGAAAAATTCATATTTTCTTATGAGAGCTTTGGGCTCTTTGACGGCAAAAAACTCCTGAGATAATCTACAGTCTACGTAAGCTGCTCTTTTAAAATTGCCAAGTTTGTGTTGACGAGTGTTACTAACGATTTTCGAGGAAACGCAGGGAAATACTAACATAATTATTTCTGCCGTTTTGTGTTTGGTCGTAAAAATCTAGAACTTGCATTAAAGAGGAACATATAGTACTATTGTTTTTTCTACTCTTACTTTAGTTTGTGTTGATTGAACGTCCCTACTGGAAGTTACGATTTGTGAGTCAGCCGTATAAAACAAGTTCGATTTTTTTGGCATTTCCTTCGAAAATCATAACTTTTCATGGGAAAGGTCGATCAGCACCAAATTGGATTGGCCCTATCAAAAAGAGCAGCTCATGTAACAGGGTATACGTTATTTTTATGCAGCGTTCCAGATTTTGACGATTCATTTCCAAAATCTAGGGTTAAAGTGGGTCTCATCAAATTTTTATCTCTGGAGTCCCTTGTCGTCAAACCGTAAAGCAGTTTTTAGAAAGTAGATTAATTTCATTATCTGGAGGTATTTTATGCTCAATAAATGCGTTTACATAGGGAACAGTACGATTATCTTCAGGGTTGAGCGTAGGGTCAGGCGAACGTAAGGGGTCGTCTGGGGGGTAAGAGCAAAGGGGCGGGGGGTTGTAGTCAAGAAGCGAATTTGTTCAAAAAAATTGAGGAAATACTACGTTCGAGCAAGATGAAGATGAAAAGCGCTTAACCGTGAATCTCGCAACTCCATCAGAGGGATGACTGTTGTGAACAGCGTACTGATCTCGACTAACCAAGTCTCACTCAAATTTCAAGTCTTCATTCTTCCTTACACATACCGTAAGGTCATCGAAGAAGCTTTTTGTGTTGATTGGGGATGATTTCCGTAATCAGTATGCCATATTACTTCTACGAGCTTTACAGACCACTACTTATTACATCTTCTAATGTTTACAAACGTCTAAAAACGTGATTTTCAAACATGATTAACTTGGTCACCAAGGTGATAGAAGTCGGCTTTTTTATTCATAACGAAGTATTTCTCTTTATCAGTCTATGGTAGAAATTGGACTTCATAACGCTTTCAAATAATGGATTATTAAATGCTGCCAAAGTGTTAGTCACCTCGTTTTCTACCTCGAGCACTTCAACTCCACCAATCACCAGGCCAAATCAAGTCGAAGTAAGCTCAAACCCTAATGTAGAATTTTCGAAGTTTATGCTAGCGAATCATATAGAACGAAGGTGGAAAAGCTTCTTTGGTGATAAAGTTAATTGAGTCAGGCGCAACTCCTCAAAGGTCAGGCCGCCTGAGCTTTTGAGGGTTTGCGCCTGACCCCCTTAACTTGCCTTCAAAATCCAGAAATCGAGCCATTCCTGGCATGAGTATTGAGCTCATAGCTTCTTCTTGCTACAGTGGAAATTTGGAGCCGAACTCCCCATCCCTAGAAAAATTATAGACCTTTCAATAAGCCCATTCAAATCAAAATCAGGCGTCAAATACATACGTGTGATTGTAAAGTGCACTCACAGGAAATCGAGCGTACAGTTCTCAAAAACCTGCATACTCTCTAGAAAAAGATGATGTTCCTTAAAATGTCACACTCTGAGGTTCCGAAGGTAAAGAGGAGGAAGAAGGGTCGTTTGAGGGCTTTCATGGGGGGAGGGGGGGGGTCGTCCTCGAAAAACTTGTGCTTAACCTTTTGCTCAACTCTGATTATCTTCTAAAGTCAAAGCGACAATACTCGGATCGGATTAACTTAATATATGTGCTGCAATGGGTTTGGGGACAGTCACCAAATCCACATTAGCCTGATGGTTCCAATTTGCAGCAGAGAACTAGCGTTGAGTATTAAGAGACATACTATCGACATATTCGAGGGCGCACAGCTATTGACTTTGGCTCACTTCGCGCCCGGTCATGGTTTTCGCCGTAGAGCACGGCAAGCTCCCCGAACTTGGCTCCACGTTAGTTCTTTTTTGTGTTTCAGCTTGTAATAACCTTCACCTTTCAAATTTGTGCTTACTTTTTCGCTTCTCCCACGCTCATAACTGTTTATCTCAGTTTCGCGGTTCAGGTGTTTCCATTGTCCATTGTTTTTGGTTCAATGTTCGATTTCTGATATCGACTGTTGTGAAGATTTTTTTTAAAAAACCTAATTCTCTTTACTTTGCTTGTAGCATCCAAAGCTTTGAATCTTTGTTTTGCAAAAAACTTGTAGAAAGTGACAAGATAGGATTTTTGGAACGAGACCTTCGCCGTTGCCTTGAACCGCCAACGTACATTCAAACTCAGCCCTTGCAATGAGCAGCACAATTGGGTATTTTTCACTTACTACTCAAACTGCGGTGACCTTCCTATCATTTTCCTGTTTTATTTATCATATAAACTGCACTAGCCGTGAGCGGATGGGACGCGTTATCTCGAAGGTTTCGTTGAGTACCATGATCTTCCTGATATGTAAATTTTTCGATTATGGACCGAGAAATATCACGTTTTTAGTAAACTCCATTGATAGCGAATGATTTTGTCTGCTAGTGAAGCTGGCACTCGCAGCTAGTATACCTGGCTCAACAACATATGAAATAGAAATAAGACAGTGAACTAGCAGGAAACATATGCGGAGGAACGATCTGGATTCTGGCGAGGTCACAAGCCAGTCAAATAGCGTAGTGTACTGACCTTTCTACAATAAGAGGGAATCGCTGTTCGTGGGCATAGCGAATAATGTGATCCTTAACAAACTTTCCTCTCAGAGTCGCGCATCCTCTTTACAAATGCATTTCTAAATTCTTCTAATTGGAAATAGAGGAAAATTTTTGGAGACAGAAAACTTGCGAATGATTAGCTCTACCGCAAGTGCGTGTGGAAGTGCAAGATGTGAAAGATTAATGCGATAGATTTGGGCATGCACGATCTATATTCAGAGGTACATTATATGAGAGAGTAAACATATGCAGAGGAAGTTGATTTTATGAAGATGAAGTAACTACAAGCTGGAGAGGAGAATGCAATCAAAGTTGAAAGCGTAAGGTATGGCCAAAGCCTTGGCATATTGTTGCACAAAAGTATGTTTGTTTTGACGCTTCTTGTTCGATTCTAGATGTGTGACTTTTAGACCGGAAATGCAAAACCATAAATCTCCTCTTATTTATTGAAAAAAGTGAGGACATGTATATATACATAATTATGATCTACTCAACAAGATCAACGAGACGTGGAACTAATCAAAAACTGATTATTCAACCTCTAGTATGATTTTTCAACTAATACTCTGACTATGAAGTGCGGGCATCTTATACGCATACAAACTCGAGATAGCTTCTGGATATATCACTGGAAACAATGTAGCGGTGATGCGGACAAAGAAAAATGAAGTGAACAGCGAAGGAAGTTCGAATATGAATGCTTTAAAACTTTCAATTACATATCACACTACCATGGTTCAGAATTCAAGCAAGAGAACACCTTCACAAGTATCTAGCAAAACTATAAAATTTTCTGCAAGATTACCGCCTTTTATGATAACAGATGAAAAATAATGCTCAAAGTACAGACAGTGTGAGTACCAGTAGGATGAACAAAGCAAGAATAGGGAAGGCTAGTGAAGCTACCTCGTAAGTTGTTGCTAAAAGAGAGCTTTACTGGTCGAATGTGTTGATACTCCGGTATCAACAACGGTTCCAGTCGCCATGCAACGGAGTCGTAAGGATGAAAGATGTTGAAAATGCGTTCGATCTGCAAAACAACAGCCCATCGTCATTTTTTAATATCGACTACAATCCGTGAAGGACATGAACGCACCTTCATCTTCGTTGGAAGAAGATCAGCATGGGTCGCACCGCGCATAACAACAAAAACAGCAAGGGGGCTACCAACCGCGAACAAATATTTGACCTAAAAACTGCTCGTAGGAAAGTATATACTGCTCGTAGAAAACTTTATACTAGAAACAAATTGCTGAACTAGACCCAAAATAATTGAAAAAGTAGTTAATTTACGTTACACTGAAGTTCCTCGTCTTTGCTTCGCGACATTTCATTGATTCCTTCCTTGATTTTCTCACACAATCTGCAAAAGAACTATTTAGCCAGGAAAGGAAAGAAAAAATTCCTTACCTATCCCTAGCCTGCTGGAAAGCCTTTAAAACCTCAAGACTAGAAGGGTCAGTGCATTCTTTCATATGAAGATCCTGAAATATGGCAATCATTACTACAGTAATAGACATTCTTGAATTACAGGCCACTGCCTGAGTAACATATTTGTCATAAAGCACAAGAGGAGACCAATGAAGTAATATGTCGTAAGGTATGACAGATCCAAGTGAATGCGCAAAACTGACACTGTACTAAGAAAGTTGGGATTATTCCCAATAAAAAGTAAATATATTCGGTTCAGTTGCTTGACCATACCACCAATCTAAAATAGAACACTAAAATACATTGCAACGTTAAATTCTTCACGAACCTCAGTACGATACAAGGGATTATGGTAGAACATGAGATCCATAGCAGTGCTGTTCAGCGCAATTCGCATCGTACTCATTTTAGGAAGGGTTACAAGATCGGTGACACCGTCATCTGCAATAGCAGGAAATCAGCATCTATTACTGAATCGACAAAAAAATATAATCAGAAGATTAGTAACTACAAAGAACAAGAGATGATCTCCACTCCACTGGCAGAAACAGAGGACGAGTCTTCTCTTCGGGAAGGCAACGTTCCATAACACCCACAGCAGCTTCGCGCAATCTGAAACGAAGTTGATTCGATTTGACTGATGGTCAAAAATGACGTACTGTTGAGCATTTTCAGCAATTGGCTTAAAACAGAAACAACATGGGCGTATATGCTTATCACACTTACGCGAATCGAGAGCTTTATCGGGCATGGGCAAATCTTGATAGATACTTTCGAGTCACAGATGGCCTCAGAAGCTATCACTTTCTTCTGAAAAGCTGCTTTATCAGCAAATAAAAAGGCGATGAACTCCGCTACCTTGTAGAGGCTATTGGAATGCACTGACTTTTCCAGTGCAAGGTATAGGCAACATTGAGTCCATTACATTGTCTTTTGACATGAGGTCAAGTGCATTCTTCTAGAATTATCCTAATGTTGTACCACAATGGCTTGCGTAGGCGCTAATAAGAATTGAAACTTCAAATTTAGCCGAGACCTCCCGAGTGACGGAACCAAATGACTGCAATCAAACGTGTAAATGGCTATTCTGAAATTGAACTTGCATCACAAACAACACATCAAACCTATCGTGTAGAAACCAAGTAGCCTGTCGTATGAGCTGCTATTTCGCTGAAAATTTGTACATGTGACACGGCAAAATAATGGGAAAAGAGAAAGGAGCCCTTCAAAGATCGAAAGAAATCCAGTGGATCGAAAGAAGTCCATGGAGGCTGACCGATTATCAAGCTCCGCCACCATTCATGACGATAAGTCTAAATGATGGGATATCGTACGTACGCTAAAATGCAAATACATAATGAAACGGATGAAAATACGACTACTGTGAAAAAATGCCCTTTAATTGCGGCAAGAAAATGGATAAGAAAACTCAAAGAAATTTTGACTCACAGGTAGTCAGAACGTGAGAGAATCTCAAGATTGGTGACACAATACAAAGGAAAAATGCTAACATAGGATTAAAGAGGAAAAAGCGACTTTTGTGACATATGTTCGCAGACAACTCGTTCCTCTCTCGTAAAATCTTTCTCTTCTGAAAGCTACCACAACTTAAAATGCTACATTGGAAAATGACTCACATACCGTTTTGAAAGCCTGTATTGGTGTATTTTTGCATGCTCTTTCTTGTGACCAAAGTAGCTGTGGGGCTGCCTGGCCGAATTTCTTCCATCGTCTTTTCAATAGATTGTTTCATCACTCTAATGCGCTCCGGGTCGTTGTTCTTCATTGAATTTTTCATTTCTTTGTATACTCGGGAGACTACCTATACTTACTGATTAAAGGGGATGTTGAATGGAGTAGTACATACAGTGTCAAATTGGATGAACTCTTCCTTTGCCTTGTCCTGGACATCAACTGAAGGACAGTTTTCGAATGTCGATGATGTTGTATGTTCCGGATCAAAGTATTCATCGGACGTGTATAAATCAGCGGCGGGTACGATTTCTTCAGCGTCTTCGAATGCACATGGACTAGGTGGATCCATGACCGCTTTGTTTGAAGAAAGCCAATTACGCGGTACAGGCAACATATTGCGAGCTGAAAATTTGCTTCTTCTGCACCAAAAGTGTGAATACGCATCTACCTTCAGCGCTAAAGGTGGCAACCGCGTGGCGGTGGATACAGGCTACACCAGCGATGACAGATGCGGGGCATGTGCATGTCATTCTGGGTGCACATGCCCCGCATCTTTCGTAGTGCGAATTGTTCTGTAACTATGAAGATATCCGCTTCAGATGTAGAAACATCGTCCTTCGGCTAACCTCTTCGTCGCAATCGCATGTGCCAATCGTGACTTCGTATCGAACATTCTGGTGAGTTCTGGACTGAACAGTCCAGAAATCGAAAGGATGTTCAAGTCCAGTCCTATGGGTCAGTGGCGTACCCTGGATTTCGGCTCGGGGGGGGGGGGGCGACAAAAATTTTTTTCTAATGAAAGTGCGTGGCGTCGCCTGACTCGCTTCTGGCTGCATCGTAAGTGTATGTTACAATATCATCACGGCTCTTCAAGAGTTCCAGAACTGACATAATTTCGTCACGACTCCTCCGCCCGGCGATAAGTCCATATTTTTCAGCGATTTCCCTAGAATAAAATTGAATAATTTGAGATACAAACCTGACAAATATACACCTGAAACTCACCCAACGTCTTTCAAAGTAATGTAGCAAATTCTGTCTTGTTAAGTTTCTTCTTTTGCAGAATCCCACCGCTCCTTGCGGATTTTACTCACGATCTGCGAGAAATCTATGACTATGAATATTCTCAACGAGAAGAACGTACGATAGGTCCGGTGAAACCGAGCTTCAAACAGCTCCACAATGTATTGTTCATCGCTTGAAGGCAAGCGTAGCGCGGCCGTAATGATTCTGTGACCTAAATGGCCACTGAAGTACTTGTAGTGTGTGAAGCCTTGAGTGTCTTCGAAAATCTGAAAAAAAAACATGCATTCGCTTCCAACATTTGAGCCAAATAGCGGCACCTTGAGGAAAGCAGGGCAGTTCCGATGGACTTTTTTGCTTTTCCTGTAGCTCCGCTTTAAAATCTCAGGATCCACATTACCACCAGTACCTCCCGAAAATCTGCATCGCAAATACACTACCCTTCCCCGGGGAGTACACCGGGAATGACGAGTGGAGTAATTTGTATATGTCATGCGCTCGATATCGTCCAGCCACATCTTAACTGCTATTGCACTCTCTAGTTTAAGTGCAGTTAGAAAACAAACCTCAGACTCGATTCTACTCCCAAAAATTCCAGTATTCACAGTGAAGGTGTTCACACCGTTTCGATGGTGTGCATTGCAATGCATCGCTAGGCATTCTACGGTACGGAATTTTTCCGAACAAGTAGGACAAGAAATAGTTTTGTTCACGTCACAGTGTTGGTGCATATTCTAAAGGATATTAGATCAATATGAGGGAAAGATATTAGTCAGTACTCGATGTCACTTTTCTGTGTCTCCAGAGCCTGCTGCTGGTTAACCGTTTCCCGCAGAAGTCGCATGCATGGGTAATACTGCTTTCCCTGGATGCTTCCCTTAGCTCCTTCTTCAACTTGTCAACGTCTTCATTTTTCATTTTATGAACCAGGCGACAATGCCTATACAAATTGCTGCGCTTCATCGGACCTTTACCACACTTGGCACACGTGTATGCTGCCGGGTTTCTCATCGGTACCAACCTTTTCAAACCTGAAAAGCTTGCAAATTCCTCGGAACGAACATTTGCGCACATCTAATATAATGTCAGTAAATCAGCTAAACAGTCAGCGTAACTTCAACCTCTTTCACAAACTCACATTTGTTGTGCCCTTCTTGTTAAAGATCAGGAGTGTCAGGACCGGGCTGAGGAGGAGACTGCGCAACCACTTCATCCTAAAGTCCGTTGCAATAAATTACAGAATACAATTTGAGTATTTTGGCGAAAAAACCCGTTATGTTAAGGGGCTTTCGTGTTAAGGTAATGCACGAAATATACATATAAGAACATGTGATATTGTGTGTGATATTCATGATCAAGTCAAAAGTCAAGTCAGCCCCTATAGAGGACGTTTGAGCAAACTCCATGGCAGAAAAATTTTGGGGCTCGAGCGGCCGAACAGCGGCTCGATCGATCGATACCCTTTGAGATTTGGAAGTTACGTTGCAAAGCTATTAAAGTGGGCAACTTGATTTGAAAAATTGATTTGAAAAGATTTGAAAAAGCTGACCTGATCCTTGTGAGTGAGCGGAGATCTCAGAAGTGCAGCATGAGCGTCCTCAAACCTATTTGTTGGCAGAACTGAGGTTACCCTGCCCTCAACAAGGCCAGGTCCGTTTCCACCTAAAACAAAGTACTGGTGATAAAGTGTAGGACATCAGCGAATACAATCGTCGTTTCTATAATTTGTACCGTTTTTAGTTCTAATACAACACAATTCTCCAACACCATGCAAGAAGTAAGGCATTTAGAAACATACCCCTAGTTTCGGTTGTACCTCCTTCAACCGGCGCATCATCAACTTCTGCGCATAAAACTTGTTCCTGAGCCGGAAAGTGTGCTAATAGATCCGCCATTTCGATACCGCTGGCTGCAATAAAAAAATCAAACGCAAAGAAACAATAGTATAAGGTACAGTTAGCACCGAATATTCGTGTTCGAATAATTTATTCGATATATTCGACTATTCGAATATTCGAATAGTCGAATATTTGAGAAAGTCCATTTATTCGATTATTCGAATAGTCGAATAAATGAAAAAGACCTATATTCGAATAATTCGTTCATTGGACGATTTCGAAAAATGACTTATTCGAATATTCGTTTATTCGAGTAGTTTTAAAAGATAGTTGTTCGAATATTCGAATATTCGAATACTGCATTCAAATATTCGAATAACATTCGAAGATTTATTCGAAAATAGTCGAATATTCGATCAAGTTCGGTTATTCAAGTATTCGTTCATTCGAATTTTGGAATGTGCCAATATTCAAATATTCAAATCGAATAAAATGAAAAACGAAAGTCGAATAATATTCGTTCATTCGAAGAATTTTCGAAAATCATATATTCGATATTCATTCGTTCGAAAAAATTTCGAAAATCAATTATTCGATAATCATTCGTTCTAAAAATTTTAAAAAATTGATTATTCGACATTCGTTCATTCGGCAAAAATTTCTGTTCGTTACAACTATAGTATAAGGGATTTGTGTGATCGTGAAGGTTGGCGTTTGCCGCTACAAGCTTCAAATCAAAGACGTATTTTTCGTAATGGCATCACGTGATTGAAACTAACATCTTATAGCAGGAAAAAGTTACAAGAAAAAAGAAAAAAAGCCGAACGCGCGAGCATTCGACTCAGACTCTAGGCCTTCACAATCGCGCAAACTTCTACACAAAGGCATCCGCGAAAGCAGCTCATCTATCTATAAATGAATAAAGAAAATGTGAACATATGGAACAAAACACTAAGCTGAAAAAACCTAAGATATGCGGATGACAACCAGCATCCGCTCAGATTTCGATAATCGAGATCTTTCGTACGCTTCGCTTTTGCAACTTTGAGTGTGAAAGGCAAAACTCAAAGAAGGTATAAATGATGAATTGTTACAACCGAGAGAAAGAAGAGGAAATAAGCACAAGAGTGTGGAGACTTGCTGATCACAGGCTGAAATGCAAAAAGGAGTTCGAGGAGCTTGCCGTGCTCTACGGCGAAAAGCATGATTGGGCACGAAGTGAGCCAAAGTCAATAGCTGTGCGCCTTGAATATGTCCATACTATCTATTTTCTCAACGTAATTGAATGAGCCCACCTTTGATGGACGGCGTTCGATATAAAGCTAGTACGCTTTAACCATACATATGCAACTATTTCGAGATTTCCTCATTTTCAAAGCAAAAGGGGAGAAAATTTTGCACATTCAAGTAATCAATAGAAAGGGTTTGTGAAGCACTATCGAATGGTATGTCGCATGCCCAGGGACTTTGAGCACAGCAGCACACATTCGGGTGTCCATAAAAAGTCTGTCCGACTTTGCCGAAGCACCGCTTGAAGGGTTAAAGGATAGGAGCTGCAAGTTGCTGCCATGATAACAATGTATTCACCGCTGGTTGTTTATCGCTTATCAGGAAAACCTTCAAAATTGCTAGTCAAGTCACATTAGCTCTGGATCACCCTAATATGTTCTACTTTCTTTTAGCATTTGGGGAGATCTTTCACCATGCAAGACAATTTTTTGTTGTTTCCTTCTTGTTTTGTGAAAGATATTTCGTCTTTTTTTGATTGCGATGCCGTTTATGACAAATCCTGTCGACATGACAAAGCTTTGCACACACATACATCAATTTTCGCAACTTGAGGAACTGTTTCATTGTGAGGAGGTGCTTCATAATTCGACGCTATGTTCAAAGAGGTTTTAGCTCTAATATGATTTTGATAGATATTCAAAAGTGTGTCATCGTATGAGCGAAGTTTTCCGATACTTATGATATCCTAAAGGTTCTAACAATAATGGCTTCTTTGAAGTCATTTATCGTTGTAGGGAATTTTCAGACAATCAAAGGCTTTCAGCCAACAGCCACAAAGCCACCGCCAAATCAAAAGCACCGTGCCCTATCGCGGCCAGTCTCGCTTAGCGATAAAGACCTTATAAAGCCGGCCCATAGCCAGATCAAGCGTCCCGCTCAATGCCATACTTGTAGCCCGCTCCTTCCTCCTTCCGTTCCTTCAGCGGGAAGCAACAGTGAAGCGATAGGGCACGGAGCTTTTGCTGGGGTTTGACTTTGGCTTTGTGGCTGCCGGCTGACTCTATCGTCTGATTAGTTTCTTGCTATGCTTACACTACAACGCTATAACTTCGATTTATTCATTATACGATGACAAACAACTATGCACAATAACGACACATGGCGTATATAGTTATAGAGCGGACGAAAGAAATGCTATGGTAAACTCTAAATAACAAACATGCAATAAGATGAGCATGCGGATGACAATGTGTATACACGCATGAGATGAAAAGCACCGTGATATTTCAGATCAACGGAAGGCGTTGATGCAGTGATTATTTGGGATAGACTAGCACCAGCAAAGTTTGAATTATATCAAAGTGCATTTGATACGCATTGAGTTAGACCTGCAGCAAAGAATCAGTAAGAAACATTAGATATGCTCTTAGATGCACATAAAATGGGAATAAGTTTATATAAAAGTATTGTATGCAATGAGATAGAGATATACTGGCAAACTTCAGATCGATCATGGCAAGAAGAGTAAGATAAATATCGTAAGATCAAAGAAAAAAAATGTAAAACCCTTACAAATGTACAACATTAGGAGGAAAGGGTGTCTGTTCCCGAGATTTTTGTCGCGTTGTGTTTGTGAATTCTTCAAGCGCAGTGATTACTCTTCTTGCACTGCCTCTTTCCTTCACTTCTGAAAGGTGACAGTTGATGCTTACAAAAATGCTTATAAAATGTTAATTTTGGAAAATTTACTCGTGGCGTGTGAGTACTACTGCCCTTGTTCGGCATCGTGCTCGTATGGTGTGAGCCTCGTAAGAAAAAGGAAACGAAATCCCATAAATTATGCAACTAACGGCAAGTTTCTTCTAATACGAAACGGAAGAATTTTCTAACAACATCTACACAGCCTTCTTGCACCGTAGAAAGAGGGAATTTTCCGTAGATTATATCCGTAAGCTTCTCCATCCTTCTTACTTGTTCTTTTTACAGTCCGAAGTGCCCCATAAGCACTGCATAGTAGAGAACGCGATGGTTCAGAGTTAAGCGATAACGCTTTAACGGTATGGGTAGTCGTAATCCATGAATGCAAAGGTTTACTTGCATAACGATTTTTCCTAATCGCCCACAGTGGTACTCTGTGAAACTTCCGCTACAGTGCTACTCTATGAAACTTCTTCAAAAGCACTAATACCCTATGAACTTTTCTCGAAAGCGGTACTCTGTGAAAGTTCGTAGCACTAAGCTCGCATTCAGGCATGCTACCAACATTCACCTATACGAGTGACTATGTAGCTAGAAAAAATATGGTCTCCTCACTTCTTCTGTACTAAGTAAACCAACCATGAAGTGTCAGATATGACAGATATGTTTGCTTTGTTATGTTATTACCAGAACAGTCTTAGAGCTCCGAAATGGGTCTATTGTAAGAAATTTAACGGTTTTAAACTTCCTGGATGGTACTGGTGGCGAAAGGAGCTTTGCTCAACTTTAACTTAAAAATCCTCAACCTACAACTGAAGCTGCGCTTTATCACCCATCCGCCAAATCTCCGGTTCTTCCCGAACTCAATTCATTTGCACGCAGTCGTGTCGAGGAACTCACGCTCTTTCGAATGAGCCTACTTGCAGGCTCGTAGAATGACTGGCGGCCAAGCTACAGGCCCGCAAAGCGGTGCGAGTCAGTGGTGAGGTGCAGGTGGGGTCATGTGCACTCACTGTCAAGAGCCATTTTCGGCAAAAAAACTCGACAGCACACGTCGGATGCGTAGAGATATCAAAAGGCATCCATTTTATCCAATTAGCTTTGTTGGGATATCTTGAATAGGTTCCCATGTGAAGAAATTTGGCTTAAAAGGGGAATTAGAAGTTATTTTTGAAAACAAAAGCAAAATAAAATTCAACTTGGGTTTTTTTGGAAGTAACTACTATCCGATTGTTGTTCTCGACGAGCTCTACAACACAGTATGCTTACCTGTCCGGAAAACTTCTGTTTTTGCCCCAAGAAAAGACCTGAAAGAAATTTTTCGCGTTCGAAGAATTAATGTCCGCGACATTGTGACGCGACCATTTCCGGACTTTTTTTTTAGGAAAAGATTTTCAAAATTTTTATAATAAACATTTTCCAGAAGGCGCAATGTGTGGGTTGTAGCTCTTGAAGAGCTCTATCATCTCATGCAATCCATTCATTTTTTCATCTTTGTTTTCCACCCGAAAATGAGCAATGAAAAAAGGAAGGCGGCTCGTCCGCAACTTTTTGGCGGTCACTGTATGGGTCGAAAGCCATGTGGACCGGTTTCGCGGGCAGATTTTGAGGGATCCGCTCAACGGATTCGCTTCTGCTTTTGCATATTGGACTTCTATGCTGGCAGCATGCTATACGCAAAATCTGAGCCCAGGAGGTTGGGTGGAACACGCTCTTGGAATTTCGTAACAGACACACTCTCACACACACAGACAGACAAAGTCACGTAAACATCCTTAGCCCGTTATTATAAGTTATGATTATGTTGTGCTAAGTGAATTATCACTGATATGTTATGGTATGTCTCAGAATACATGAAGCCAAGTTAATAAGTTGTTAGTAGTAATTTGTTAGTACTCGATATTATAGGCAGTTCACCAAAATTTCGATGTTGGGAAATACAGGGTGTCCCATCTTGTAGCCTAATTTTGCACTGCTTTAACTCAACAATCACTGGACACAGCATTCGAATTTCGTGGTAGCATCTTTCCTTGATAACGGAAGCCTTCAAACTGTTGGCGATTACCACTGCCGAGGCACGCAGGCAGTCATCATCAATTTTGTCTTCAATTTTTCATAAAAATAAATCC